ATTTTTATTTTATGATACTTTTTGGGCCGGGCGCACGCACGCGCACACACAACTGCGCCTGCGTGAGGGCGCGTGTATTGCCACGCAAAGGAAAAGGAAATCATTGGCTGCCTTCTGCAGCGTAGACGGCGTCCTTGTTTTTAAATTATTCTACCTGCCCCTTTTCTCTTGCGCGTCCAAACTATTTTACTCCGCCTTCTCTGCTTTTTCGTACACAAGCACGAAAAACAAAATAAAGGGGAACTGTTTGCCTTTTTTTTTGTTCCTTGTTTTTCACTTCCTTATTTGCACCGCTTCCTCATGGCGCTTTTTTTTTTTGATTGTTTGCTTCTTTTACTTTTACTTTTTGTAAAACGCCGCCCACTGCTTCAGACAAAAGACACAACAGCGGGGTGCGTGCAAAGGCGTGGGAAAGGGCAGGAAAGATGTCGCGGCGCAGAGATTCCAAGTCCCACCTGGCGGACTTCATCCGTCGACTACGCGAGCAAACCCGCCCAGGCACCACGGAGGCTCCGGGGGCGCGGCGAGGGGGCGGCGGTGGACGCTACGCCCCCTCGTTTCCAGGGCAAGTCGTGCTGGCGAACGCGCCCACTCGCGGCAGATCTTTTCTCCCACGCCCGCGCCCGGATACTGGGGACGTGAGTGAGGCCAGTCCTGGCGCAGCTGTGGCGTTGCCGCCGGCTCAGCGCGCACGCTGTCAGCGACAGGAGACACGGGCCCCACGCCCTGAAGGGGCAGTGGAGGGGGCACCGGAGGGTTTGCAAGGGCGCCGACGCCCCCCTGCGAATAACGCCCCCCCGGAGGCCCAAAGAACAACGGACCCCGCCGCAGTCCTCCATTCCACACTTGGAGGCAGCCAAGCGCGTGGCGGCGGTGCTTCCGCTTTGGGACGCGCAGCAAGGCCGGGGGTTGCAGGGCTTGGAAGAGGCAGAGGAAACGGCCGGGGCGCCGGGGCGCGTGGAAAGCACAGGAGAGCAGAGTAGCGTTAACGTGCTTGTTCGTCCCCATCGCCAGCGGCTTCTGTGCGAACGCGCGGCAAGTGCCCATAATCAGGGCAAGGGAGAGCAGTGAAAAGCTGATTCGCAAACATGGCATGAGTGTGATGGGCGTAAATAAACTAGCTCGTGTCGCGAGTGCGCGAGAAACGCACCGCTGCATCTGCATTTTGTGAATACACGACTAAAGAAGTGGGGCAACGAAAGGGGGAAAAAAGGAATAAAATAACAAAGAAAAAGAGAAAAGACGTTAGTAGTCCTTAAAAGTATTTTTTTTTTTTTGGGGGGGGGGGGCTGTTTGACTACTACGGACCG